ATTTGTGGGTCTCCCCCGTCCACAGCAGTAAGTAAAAGTGAAATGTGTTGTTGTTTTTCTCGATCTAAAGGTTTTTGTAGAATCATTTCAACATTTTTGCTACCATCCGGCATATCTTGAGTCTTTAGAATAAAATGATCAGCGGGATGTAAAAAATAACTCTGAACGCCGTTAAGGCCAACGTCATCATCCACGGCTGTCTCTAAAACAAATTTAGCTCCTGTCAGAGATGATTCACTTATATCAAATTTAATCTCTTTAACTGCAAAAAAGGGAAAGTTGTCATTTACGTCTACAATCTCAATTGTTACGCTATAAAACTCCATAGGATTTTCCAAGGTAATCTGTAAATGTAGCGCGCAAGGCGTTGTCTGTCCGCATAGCGCCTCTCGGTCTATTCTCTCTTTGATAAGGAGGACTCCTCTTTCTTTATTCAGCTCGATGTATTCAGCGCTGTCTCCTGTATAAATACGCGCTTTACCCGATTTCAGTCTCTTTAAATCTAAACCCAAATCCTGCGCTATGTTCCCGACTAAAGAGCCTTTCGCCATTTCCTCAGGAATGGAGTAACTGACCTGCCCGAGAGCCGAACTGAGAGAGAGAAACCAAATAAACAGCAGTACTTGCCGCGCCATTGTTCTGTCCGACATTTTGCAGAAGACCACGGATTGAAGATTCAAGAAGAAAACAAATACATCAATCCAAGAAGCTGGAGGAAATTATGTATATATATCCAAAGTTACAAGAACTAACAAACGTGTCTGTAATTCCAGAAAAAAAAAGGATTATAAATACAGTAAATCCTTGGTTGTCTTCTCTCTTCTTCTCAGACTGTGCTCTCAGCTTCTGTCTCTCTCTAATAATATGGAGATGATGGGGGTGGAATTGCAGCAGATCTGCTCTTTAAACTCACATATTGACCAACAGCGGCACTAAGAGTTCAGTCTGATGAACTACAGATAATTTAAAATGAATAAACCTTTATCTGTGTCAGACACGTTTAAGAAAAGCAATTTACTGAACAAAGTAGTATAAAACTAGCAAATGTTAATTATAATACGAACATCTAAGAGATAAAATGATTGTACGAGTTTGTGTAAATAAGATAAAAAAAACCTGAAACAAATAAATGTATTTTTCCCTCAGTGTTTTGATCAAGCCCTATCCGCGTGTCCATTGATCGGAGAGACAGGGAGACGTATCTAAAATACAATTAAACACATACCAAGTATATGAAACCGAATTCAAGTTTGTATCGTTTAACTGTGAACAGAATGATAGACAGATAAACTGCATGAAAAACAAAACAAAACAAAAAAAAACACGGTCTGCTATAAAAAGATGCACCAGAATACACGAGGAAAATGACCGCCTCGCTGCATATCAGGACCATGGTCAGGGAAGCTCAAGTTTCTCACTAAATGACAAAGACAAGCATAACAGTCGTGCAGAAAAAAAGTTAAGATCAAATAAAAATTGAAAATGTTAAATCGCTAGTCTATATATCAGTGACAATGTGTCATATTACCTGGGACTTAAAAGGATTAATAATAATAATAATAATAATAAAAACTAATATTTTGTAGCATGTTCAAGCATGTTGTGTTATAGATAACAATGTGCTTAATGTTAGTGTTGCACTGTATTCATTTTTGTGTTGCGAACTGTTATTGGATGTTCGAGTTGGATGTGAAAAGAGGCTCCGCCCCTGTGTGTGGTAAGGGGAAAGAGAGAGAAGGAGGGGGGAGAAGGAGTGCCTCGCTGGTTCAAGTACGGTTCTCTTAGAAGTCGGGGTGTGTACGGCGTGGGTTGTGGCCGACAACAGCCCAAATAAACCCCCCTTGTACATCAAAACGCCTCGTCCTTGTCTGAGAACGCTACAATATATTAAAATAAATATATAAATAAACTTCTATTTAACGAAGAATAGAAGAATGAAACTTCTATTTTCTATTTAATTATTTCTATTTTAAAAATAGAGAATAATAATTTGCGTAATAGAAATGCAGAAAATATACAACTATAAAAACTGGCCAAACTATAATATAAGATCAAAATACACCATTATTTAATTGTCAACTTCTTAAATTTACAGAAACTAAATATTTCACAAAACTAATCAGAAATTATTAATTATGAAAAACAATGTTTTAAAATATCAATACAAATTAGCTGTAAAAATATTTCTCACCTGATCGTCACAATCGTCAAAGTTCAGTCTCTCCCTTTGCGCATGCGTGAGTGTCTGTGTTCCGCTGCTGTCCAGACTAATGATGCTCTCACTGCAAGGTCTGACGTATTTCAGATCACTCTTTCTGGAGTCAGTGGTTCTGCAAACCTCATAATTGTACACGTGCTGTAAAGTTCCTGTGCCCCCTACGTCTGCGTAAAGAGGCGGATAATACGGAATAACTGGAAGATTCGCTCCAGATTTGTAAAAGCATTTGTCGACTTCAGAGTAAAAGGAATGTTCTCAATAATTGAACAATCAATTTTACCGTTTTCTCCTGCATCTGGGTCTTGTGCGTTTATCACAGTTACAACTGTTCCAGAATTAGAGTTTTCTGATATTGTGGTTAATTTAGACATGATGTTGATCTGTGGTTTATTGTCATTTATATCAATCACATCCAGAACGATCTTACAAGAATCAGTCAGACCCCCGTCATCGCCCGCCTGTACATGAATTTGATAGTGGCGAGCTTTCTCGTAATCTATATTCCCTGTTACTCTCACCTCACCGTTTGTTTCGTTAATTTCAAACAACTCCGGAACATTGTCGAGGGTATTTGTAATAGCATATGCAATTTTGCCGTTAGATCCCTCATCCAAATCAGAAGCCCTCACCGTTGTCACAACTGTCCCTTTTAGAGCATTCTCAGTGACACTCGCTTTATATATTTCCTGCGTACAAACAGGCGCATTATCGTTCACATCTAAAACCGTAATATGTATTTGCGCAGTACCAGACAATTGTGGATCACCTCCATCTATCGCTGTCAGAACCAGAGATAAATGCTCTTGCTTTTCACGATCAAGAGGCTTTTGAAGAACCATTTTTACCAGCTTACTACCGTCAGTTTGACTCTGTAATTTTAATGAAAAATTATCAGTGGGCGTTAATGTATAAGTCTGAAGGCCGTTTATTTCTACGTCTAAATCCATCGCTCTCTCTAAAACAAAAACTGCCCCAGTCGCAGCTGACTCACTAATTCTGAATCTCATCTCAGTTCGTTTAAAAGATGGCGAATGGTCATTTACATCTGTAACTTCGACTGTAATGGAGAAAAACTCTATTGGATTTTCTAAAATAATCTGGAAATGTAGAGCGCAAGGCGTTATCTGTCCGCATAGCACCTCTCGGTCTATTTTCTCTTTGATGAGGATGACTCCTCTTTCTTTATTCAGCTCGATGTATTCAGCGCTGTCTCCTGTATAAATACGCGCTTTACCCGATTTCAGTCTCTTTAAATCTAAACCCAAATCCTGCGCTATGTTCCCGACTAAAGAGCCTTTCGCCATTTCCTCAGGAATGGAGTAACTGACCTGCCCGAGAGCCGAACTGAGAGAGAGAAACCAAATAAACAGCAGTACTTGCCGCGCCATTGTTCTGTCCGACATTTTGCAGAAGACCACGGAAGGAAGATTTAAGCAGAAACCAAATAAACCAATCCAAGAAGCTGGAGGAAAATATGTATATATCCAAATTGACAAGAACTAACAAAAGTGTATGAAATTTCAGAAATAAGGATTATTAATACAGTATCTCCGTAATTTGTCTTCTCTCTCTTCCTCAGACTGTGCTCTCAGCTTCTGTCTCTCTCTAATAATATGGAGATGATGGGGGTGGAATTGCAGCAGATCTGCTCTTTAAACTCACATATTGACCAACAGCGGCACTAAGAGTCCAGTCTGATGAACTACAGAAATGACCAAATAGTTTTTTTTCTACACTACGAGACATGATTTCGAATTATTCCACGTTGTAAAAATAAATAAAATACAGCCGTTGCGATTGTCATTCAACATACAATTATCTAAAAATTAGTTATGATTGCAGGATTTCCTTTAAACAAATGATAAAAGTAACAAACAAACAAACAAACAAACAAACAAACAAATAAATAAATAAATAAATAAAGTGAATTAAATGAGATACTGAATTAGCACAAACTTAGATGTGCCCTTAACGGAATAGTAGAGAGAACCATGAAATATATAACTATGAACGAATGCGATACTTTTAAATTCTAACATATTGGAAAGACGCAGTAGTTCTAAAATATGCTCTAACGGACGGAGGTAAGGGGGAAAAATAGGCCGAAGAATCAACCTTTCAGCACTACGGTCAGTTACTAAGATTGCATTTGAGTTCTGCTGGTGTTCACAAGCATATTTGAAAGTTCCTCAAAACAGTCTTAAAAACGCATTGTGGATTTAAAAACTATGAAATACGGATATAGCAGAAAAACCACTTAACAGAGTAGAAAGATTATTTCAGGCATTTCTGAAGACCGCAAATTGTCTAAAAGTAGCTACGCGAGATTCTCCAGATTATTTAACAACCGATAAAATATTTTTACAGTCATATAACTATTGTACATACACCTCACACACAATCTTGCATTAAAGCACTAAAGCTAAAACCAACGTAACAAAATAAATACAGAAGCAGAAAACCCACATCAGATCCGTAACATTAACACAAGAAAATAAATAACAGGGAAATACTTCAAACTACAGCAAGGATGCCATCATGAAAACAACAACCTGATTATGTGAGTAGCAACTTGCTTGTTATTGTATGTAGAACTGGAAACACTTAAGATGCATGTATGAACGGTTTGAATGCTTTTGCAGTAAAAAAAAAATGTTGTAAACTGCTACACAAACTGGAAATAAAAATTCTCACCTGATCATCAAATTCTTTATTGATCAGTTTTCCTCTTTGCGCATGCGTGAGTGTCTGTGTTCCGCTGCTGCCCAGACTAATGATGCTCTCAATTCTGACCAGAGTCCACATCAACAGCCACCACTTTAGTGACCAGATAACCCACATCTGCCGAACGAGGCACTATTTCAGCCACCACAGAAGCGCCTGACTGTGAAGAAATTAGCATTTGTCGACTTCAAGGTAAAAGGAATGCTCCCAAGAATTGAACAATCAATTTTACCGTTTTCTCCTGCATCTGGGTCTTGTGCGTTTATCACAGTTACAACAGTTCCAAGATTAGAGTTTTCTGATATTGTGGTTAATTTAGACATGATGTTGATCTGTGGTTTATTGTCATTTATATCAATCACATCCAGAACGATAAATATGGAAAGACCCGGTGTGTTGTTTTCTTGAAAAGAGGCCTCGTATGAGCTCTTGTCAAAGACAGGTGCGTTATCATTCACATCTGATATCTGTAAGGAGAGAGTGACGTGGCTGGAGAGAGAGGGCACGCCCTCATCCGCGCACGTCACACTGATGTTATAATCAGACACGCGCTCTCGGTCTAAATCACCATCTGTGACTAAAGTGAAGAAATTAGCATTTGTCGACTTCAAGGTAAAAGGAATGCTCCCAAGAATTGAACAATCAATTTTACCGTTTTCTCCTGCATCTGGGTCTTGTGCGTTTATCACAGTTACAACAGTTCCAGGATTAGAGTTTTCTGATATTGTGGTTAATTTAGACATGATGTTGATCTGTGGTTTATTGTCATTTATATCAATCACATCCAGAACGATCTTACAAGAATCAGTCAGACCCCCGTCATCGCCCGCCTGTACATGAATTTGATAGTGGCGAGCTTTCTCGTAATCTATATTCCCTGTTACTCTCACCTCACCGTTTGTTTCGTTAATTTCAAACAACTCCGGAACATTGTCGAGGGTATTTGTAATAGCATATGCAATTTTGCCGTTAGATCCCTCATCCAAATCAGAAGCTCTCACCGTCGTCACAACTGTGCCTTTAAGAGCATTCTCGGTGATACTCGCTTTATATATTTTATGCGTAAAAACAGGCGCATTATCGTTCACATCTAAAACCGTAATATGTATCTGCGCAGTTCCAGACAATTGTGGATCACCTCCATCTATCGCTGTCAGAACCAGAGACAAATGCTCTTGCTTTTCACGATCGAGAGGTTTCTGAAGAACCATTTCTACTAACTTACTACCGTCTGCCTGAGTCTGTAATTTTAATGAAAAGTTATCAGTGGGCTTTAATATATAAGTCTGAAGGCCGTTTATTTCGACATCTAAATCCATCGCTCTCTCTAAAACAAAAACTGCTCCAGTCGTAGCTGACTCACTAATTCTGAATATCATCTCAGCTCGTTTAAAAGATGGCGAATGGTCATTTATATCTGTAACTTCGACTGTAATGGAGTAAAACTCTATTGGATTTTCAAAAATTATCTGGAAATGTAGGGCGCAAGGCGTTGTCTGTCCGCATAGCGCCTCTCGGTCTATTCTCTCTTTGATAAGGAGGACTCCTCTCTCTTTATTCAGCTCGATGTATTCAGCGCTGTCTCCTGTATAAATACGCGCTTTACCCGATTTCAGTCTCTTTAAATCTAAACCCAAATCCTGCGCTATGTTCCCGACTAAAGAGCCTTTCGTCATTTCCTCAGGAATGGAGTAACTGACCTGCCCGAGAGCCGAACTGAGAGAGAGAAACCAAATAAACAGCAGTACTTGCCGCGCCATTGTTCTGTCCGACATTTTGCAGAGGACCACAGAGGGAATATTAAGGCAGATAACAAATCAATCCAAGAAGATGGAGGAAATGTATAAATCCAAAGTGACAAAAACTAAGAAAGTCTGTAATTCCAGAAGTATACTGAATAGAATATCTCCGTGATTTGTCTTCTCTCTCCTTCTCAGACTGTGCGCTCAGCTTCTGTCTCTCTCTCTAATAATATGGAGATGATGGGGTGGAACTGCAGCAGATCTGCTCTTTAAACTGACATATTGACCAACAGCGGCACTAAGAGTCCAGTCTGATGAACTACAAAAAATAAAATAAAAAATCTAAATAGATACATTTTTAGTTAAAGGGGTCATATGATGCGATTTCAAGTTTTCCTTTCTCTTTGGAGTGTTACAAGCTGTTCGTGAATAGATAAGATCCCTGAAGTTGCAAAGACTAAAGTCTCAAAACCAACGAGATATTCTTTATTAAAGTTAAGACTCTGCCACACCCCACTAAAACAGCTCGTTCTAACACGCCTCCACATATCTACCTCGCTATGTGGGAATATTTGCATAATGCGCCCAAATGTGCACGCAAAGAAAGAAGGCGTGGTTTCAGTAACCGCAGATCTTTAAAAAAGCATCATATGACCCCTTTAAGTATTAGACTTGTCTGAGAACATCAATTTGCTAAACAAAGTTCTGAAGTATAACACCAACAAATGTATATCATAATACAAATATACTTCAAAAGAAAATGTGAGTTTTTGTAAATAAAGATTTAAGGTAAAAAAAGGAAAACAATTTCGTGTTGGCTCAAAGTTTTTTTTTTTTTTAGATCAGGTATCAACACTGATCAGACAAAGAGGGAGAAATACCTAAAATATAATTATCCACATAAATATCCAATCAAAAATTAAATCCTGTCTAATTTAACTTTGAACAGGAGAACAGGGCTGCGTTTCCCGGTAACGTTGTCTCTTAGCGCGCTACGAAGACTCTAAAGGTATACTTAACTAAGAATGTTTCAGGAAACACGTATTAATGATAAGGTAAGGTACAACTTAAGAACGACGTAGCGTTAAGTAGGTTTCGGGAAACGCAGCCCAGATCAATAAGCTGTTGAAAATCTCCAAAAGATCGTCTGCTATAAAGAGATACAGCTGAATATATGAGGTAAATTTTCGCATCGCCGCAATTCAGGACCATGGACAAGGAAGCAAATGCAAACGTTGACTAGAGTTTCTCACTTCTTGACAAAAATAAGTTAAAGTATTGCGCAAAAACAAAAGAAAAAGAGTTGTAATTGTAAATAACCAACTGAATGACCCAGGATAATAATGTTAACGTGGAGACTGAATTACTAGACTTTATTTCAGCGGCAGCGTTCCATATACTGTAAGATTGAACTGAAAAAAAGAAAAAAGAAAAAGAATAAAAAGGAACTTCCACTTAATGTATGAAAGGGGGAAAAACCTGAAAATCTTTCTGAAACTGAAAAGTTAAGGAGTCGTTTTCTTTTATGGCTGTACAGGAAAAGATGATATAATAGCAACACACCACTAACAAGAGAGAAGACCTATTCGAAAAACAACAGCAAAAAAAAAAAAAAAAAAAAAAAGGCGAAAAAAAGTCGAAACGTGAAAAAAAGTTCACCAAACTATAATAAAATACAACAGCATGTGATTGGTATCATATTCTGTTTAAATTATTTAAAAGTCAGTGTCTTAGAATTGCAGAAACTACTCATTTCAGAAGACCAGTGCAGTTCAAGCAAATATGCGCAACAACGTTTTAAAAATCGCATAAAAGGGCTCTAAAAAAACTATTCTCACCTTATCATCACAATCATCAAAGTGCAGTCTCTCCCTTGCATGTATGAACGGTTTGAATGCTTTTGCAGTAAAAAAAATGTTGTAACTGCTACACAAACTGGAAATAAAAATTCTCACCTGATCATCAAATTCTTTATTGATCAGTTTTCCTCTTTGCGCATGCGTGAGTGTCTGTGTTCCGCTGCTGCCCAGACTAATGATGCTCTTACTGCAAGGTCTGACGTATTTCAGATCACTCTTTCTGGAGTCAGTGGTTCTGCAAACTTCATAATTGTACACGTGCTGTAAAGTTCCTGTGCCTGAATGATGAAATAATCATCTTTCTAAAGAACGGAAATGGTCTTAAAGTAGCAACACGAGATTCTTCAGATTATTTAAAAAACTGATAACGTATTTTTGAATCATATAACTATTGTACACCTCACAGTAAAATGATTACAAAAAAAAAGAAAAGAAAAATCACAACTATTACTTGATAAATTAATTTTTGTATATATTAAAGAAAGTGATTGAAAAAAAAACAATAATAAATGTGGGCAAGTTACATAAAGGAGGTTGAAGTATGCATACATGAGCAGGAAAAAACTCCCTCAACTGGAAATGGAACAAATCTTGCATTAAAGCACTAAAGCGAAAACCAATGTAACAAAAGAAATACAAAAGAAGCAGAAAACCCACATTTGATACGTAACATTAACACAGTAAAATAAATAGCAGGGAAATACTTCAAACAACAGCAACAATGCCATCATGAAAACAACAGCCAGACTCGCTTGTTATTGTATGTAAAATTGGAAACATTTAAGATATATATGTATGAACGGTTTGGATGCTTTTGCAGTCAAAATGGGTTGTAAGCTGCAACACAAACTGTAAATAAAAATTCTCACCTGATCATCACATTCTTCATTGATCAGTTTTCCTCTTTGAGCATGCGTGAGTGTCTGTGTTCCGCTGCTGTCCAGACTAATGATGCTCTCACTGCAAGGTCTGCCGTATTTCAGATCACTCTTTCTGGAGTCAGTGGTTCTGCAAACCTCATAATTGTAGGGAACTCCGTTAACCGACGAGTCCTCCAATATGTAAGATACACGGGCATTCTGGTTAAAATCTGTGTCTCTGGCTCTGACTGTGAATATGGAAAGACCCGGTGTGTTGTTTTCTTGAACAGAGGCCTCATATGAGCTCTTGTCAAAGACAGGCGCGTTATCATTCACATCTGATATCTGTAAGGAGAGAGTGACGCTGCTGGAGAGAGAGGGCACGCCCTCATCAGCGCACGTCACACTGATGTTATACTCAGACTCGCGCTCTCGGTCTAAATCACCATCTGTGACTAAACTGAAGAAATTGGCATTCGTCGACCTCAAGGTAAAAGGAATGTTCTCATTAACTGAACACTGAACTTTCCCATTTTCTCCCGAATCAAGATCCTGAACATTTATCATTGTAACCACCGTCTCAGACGCGGGATTTTCAGCTATCACGTTTGTTTTGGACATAATATTGATCACTGGCTTATTATCATTGATATCAATTACATCAACTATGATTTTACACGAATCAGTCAGACCACCATGATCACTCGCTTGAACGCTTATCTCGTAACTGCGAGCTTTTTCAAAGTCTATTATTCCGACCACTGTAACTTGACCATTATCTTGATTTATGCCAAATAACTGCCTGGCATCATCCTGTCTGTTTGCAATAGAATACTCTATTTTACTATTTATTCCCTCGTCGGGGTCAGTTGCACTCACTGTTGACACTACAGTGTCTTTTGGCGCATTCTCTGTGACAGTCGCTTTATAAACTGACTGTAAGAAAACAGGAGCATTGTCGTTTACGTCTAAAACTGTAATGTGGATCTCTATACTGCCAGACAACTGAGGATCTCCCCCATCAATGGCTGTGAGCACTAATTTTATATCATGCTGTTTTTCACGATCTAAAGGCTTTTTTAGAACAATTTCGACATTTTTTCCGTCTCCTGGTTGATTTTTAAATATAAGATTAAAATTATCAGTAGGTTTTAGCATATAGCTTTGAAGGCCGTTGATTCCCACATCGAGATCTATAGCAGGCTCTAACATAAATTTAGACCCTAAAACAGCAGATTCGCTAATTCTAAAAATAATTCTGCTCTTCTCAAAACTGGGAGTGTTGTCATTAATATCTATTATTTCAATGGTGATGCTAAAAAATTCCATTGGGTTTTCAAGAATAATCTGAAAATGTAGGGCGCAAGGCGTTGTCTGTCCGCATAGCGCCTCTCGGTCTATTCTCTCTTTGATAAGGAGGACTCCTCTCTCTTTATTCAGCTCGATGTATTCAGCGCTGTCTCCTGTATAAATACGCGCTTTACCCGATTTCAGTCTCTTTAAATCTAAACCCAAATCCTGCACTATGTTTCCGACTAAAGAGCCTTTCGCCATTTCCTCAGGAATGGAGTAACTGACCTGCCCGAGAGCCGAACTGAGAGAGAGAAACCAAATAAACAGCAGTACTTGCCGCGCCATTGTTCTGTCCGACATTTTGCAGAAGACCACGGAAGGAAGATTCAAGCAGAAACCAAATAAACCAATCCAAGAAGCTGGAGGAAATTATGTATATATCCAAAGTGACAAGAACTAGCAAACGTGTATGAAATTTCAGAAATAAGGATTATTAATACAGTATCTCCGTAATTTGTCTTCTCTCTCTTCCTCAGACTGTGCTCTCAGCTTCTGTCTCTCTACTAATATGGAGATGATGGGGGTGGAATTGCAGCAGATCTGCTCTTTAAACTCACATATTGACCAACAGCGGCACTAAGAGTCCAGTCTGATGAACTACAGAAATGATCAAATAGTTTTTTTTCTACACTACGAGACACGATTTCGAATTATTCCACGTTGTAAAAATAATTAAAATACAGCGGCACTAAGAGTCCAGTCTGATGAACTACAGAAATGATCAAATAGTTTTTTTTCTACACTACGAGACACGATTTCGAATTATTCCACGTTGTAAAAATAATTAAAATACAGCCGTTGCGATTGTCATTCAACATACAATTATCTAAAAATGAGTTATGATTGCAGGATTTCCTTTAAACAAATGATAAAAGTAACAAACAAACAAACAAACAAATAAATAAATACATAAATAAATAAATAAATAAATAAAGTGAATAAAGTGAATTAAATGAGATACTGAATTAGCACAAACTTAGATGTGCCCTTAACGGAATAGTAGAGAGAAACATGAAATATATAACTATGAACGAATGCGATACTTTTAAATTCTAAACATATTGAGGAACATATTGGAAAGACGCAGAAGTTCTAAGATATGCTGTAACGGACAGAGGTAAGGGGGAAAAATAGGCCGAAGAATCAACCTTTCAGCACCACGGTCAGTTACTAAGATTGCATTTGAGTTCTGCTGGTGTTCACAAGCATATTTGAAAGTTCCTCAAAACAGTCTTAAAAACGCATTGTGGATTTAAAAACTATGAAATACGGATATAGCAGAAAAACCACTTAACAGAGTAGAAAGATTATTTCAGGCATTTCTGAAGACCGAAAATGGTCTAAAAGTAGCTACGCGAGATTCTCCAGATTATTTAACAACTGATAAAATATTTGTACAATCATATAACTATTGTACATACACCTCACACACAATCTTGCATCAAAGCACTAAAGCTAAAACCAACGTAACAAAATAAATACAGAAGCAGAAAACCCACATCAGATCCGTAACATTGACACAAGAAAATAAATAATAGGGAAATACTTCAAACTACAGCAAGGATGCCATCATGAAAACAACAGCCTGATTATGTGAGTAGCAACTTGCTTGTTATTTGTATGTAAAACTGGAAACACTTAAGATGCATGTATGAACGGTTTGAATGCTTTTGCAGTACAAAAAAATGTTGTAAACTGCTACACAAACTGGGAATAAAAATTCTCACCTGATCATCAAATTCTTTATTGATCAGTTTTCCTCTTTGCGCATGCGTGAGTGTCTGTGTTCCGCTGCTGCCCAGACTAATGATGCTCTCACTGCAAGGTCTGCCGTATTTCAGATCACTCTTTCTGGAGTCAGTGGTTCTGCAAACCTCATAATTGTACACGTGCTGTAAAGTTCCTGTGCCCCCTACGTCTGCGTAAAGAGGCGGATAATACGGAATAACTGGAAGATTCGCTCCAGATTTGTAAAACATCCGCTCGCGTCTCCATCTGTAGCATTTGACTGACAGTATGGCGATGATAGACACGATAAAGAGAAACGAAACTACAGCCAAGGCCAAGACCAGATAGAAAGTCAGGTTGTCGTTGTAGTCCTTGTCGTGCGGAAAGTCAGTGAACTCCGAGAGCACTTCAGGGAAGCTGTCCGCCACCGCCACGTTAACATTGACTGTAGCTGATCGAGAGGGCTGCCCGTTGTCCTCCACTACAACAGTGAGTCTTTGTTTCACAGCATCTTTATCTGTCACTTGGCGTACAGTTCTTATTTCTCCATTCTGTAAGCCCACTTCAAACAGCGCCCTGTCTGTGGCTTTCTGCAGTTTATATGAGAGCCAGGCATTCTGTCCAGAGTCCACATCAACAGCCACCACTTTAGTGTCTCTTTAAATCTAAACCCAAATCCTGCGCTATGTTCCCGACTAAAGAGCCTTTCGCCATTTCCTCAGGAATGGAGTAACTGACCTGCCCGAGAGCCGAACTGAGAGAGAGAAACCAAATAAACAGCAGTACTTGCCGCGCCATTGTTCTGTCCGACATTTTGCATTAGACCACGGAAGGAAGATTCAAGCAGAAAAAAAAAAAATCAATCCAAAAAGCTGGAGGAAATCATGTATAAATCCAAAGTGACGAGAGCTAACAAAAAAGTCTGTAAGTCAATGAAAAGGATACTAAATACAGTATCTTCGTGATTTGTCTTCTCTCTTCATTTCAGACTGTGCTCTCAGCTTCTGTCTCTCTCTAATAATATGGAGATGATGGGGGTGGAATTGCAGCAGATCTGCTCTTTAAACTCACATATTGACCAACAGCGGCACTAAGAGTTCAGTCTGATGAACTACAGAAAATGTAAAATGAATAAACCTTTATCTGTGTCAGACACGTCTAATAAAAGCAGTGTACTGAACAAAGTAGTATAACACTAGCAAATGTCCATTATAATACAAACATCTAAGAGATAAAATTATTGTATGAGTTTGTGTAAATGAGATTTAAAGAAAAAAACTAAAACAAATACATTTCTCGTTCCCTCAGTGTTTTGATCAAGCCCTATCCGCGTGTCCATTGATCAGAGAGACGGAGAAATATTTTAAATGCAATTAAACACACACCAAGTATCTGAAAACGAATTAAAGTTTGTGTCGTTTAACTGTGATCAGAAGGATAGACAGACAAACTTCAGAAAAAAAAACTAACTAAAAAACATGGTCTCCTCTAAAAAGATGCATCAGAATACATGAGGAAAATGACCGCTTCTCTGCATTTCAGGACCATGGTCAGCGAAGCTGAAGTTTCTCACTAAATGACAAAGACAAGTATAACAAGTCGTGCAGAAAAAAAGTTAGTCAAATAAAAATTGAAAATGCCACCGCATGTTAAATCGTTAGTCTATATATCAGTGACAGTGTTCCATATTCCCTCGGACTTAAAATTAATAAAATAAACTAATAAAAAAACGAATATATATTAAAATAAATATATAAATAAACGTCTACTTGAAGCATAACATTTTTTATTTTTTTTATTTTTGGCTGTACAAAAAAGAGATACTAATAAAAATAGAGAATAATAATTTGAGTAATAGAAATGCAGAAAATAGACAACTATAAAAACTGGCCAAACCATAATATAAGATCAAAATACACCATTATTTACTTGTCAACTTCTTAAAATTACATAAACGATTTATTTCAGAAAACTAATCAGCGATACTGTCAACAGCTAAAGCAAAAATGATTAATTATGAGAAACAACGTCTTAAAATATAAATTAGCTGTAAATATATTTCTCACCTGATCGTCACAATCGTCAAAGTTCAGTCTTCCTCTTTGCGCATGCGTGAGTGTCTGTGTTCCGCTGCTGCCCAGACTAATGATGCTCTCACTGCAAGGTCTGCCGTATTTCAGATCACTCTTTCTGGAGTCAGTGGTTCTGCAAACCTCGTAATTGTACACGTGCTGTAAAGTTCCTGTGCCCCCTACGTCTGCATAAAGAGGCGGATAATATGGAATAACTGGAAGATTCGCTCCAGATTTGTAAAACATCCGCTCGCGTCTCCATCTGTAGCATTTGACTGACAGTATGGCAATGATAGACACGATAAAGAGAAACGAAACTACAGCCAAGGCCAAGACCAGATAGAAAGTCAGGTTGTGGTTGTTCACGTTGCTGCTGTGAGGAGGAGAGCCTCCGTCCTGCGCTTTTACGCGGAACTGGAAATCTTTGATCTGCTCGTAATCGAAAGATCGCACTGCATGTATGACTCCACTGTCAGCACTAACGGACACTAACGAGGAGACGGGCACTCCTTTAACCGACGAGTCCTCCAGCATGTAAGACACACGGGCATTCTGGTTAAAATCTGCGTCTCTGGCTCTGACTGTGAAAATGGAAAGACCAGGTGTGTTGTTTTCTTGAACAGAGGCCTCATATGAGCTCTTGTGAAAGACAGGCGCGTTATCATTCACATCTGATATCTTTAAGGAGAGAATGACGCTGCTGGAGAGAGAGGGCACGCCCTCATCCGCGCACGTCACACTGATGTTATACTCAGACTCGCGCTCTCGGTCTAAATCACCATCTGTGACTAAACTGTAGAACCCATCGGGCGAAGATTGAATGACGAATGGAACATTTTCATTTAAGTGACAATTAACTTTGCCGCTTTCATTTGAGTCTAGGTCTTGAATATTTAATATCGCTAAAACATTGCCAGTTTTTGAATCCTCTGATATCTGGCTTGATTTTGAGATAATATTAATAGTGGGACTATTATCGTTTGTGTCAATAACGTCAACAATTATTTTACAGGAATCAGTATGACCGCCTTCATCTCGTGCCTGAACATCAATTTGATAATACTTACTTATTTCATAATCTATGCCCCCAATAAGCTTTACAACACCAGATTCAGGATATATTTCAAAAATATCTGCCGCTTTGTCCGCAGTACTTGAAATGGAGAACGATATTCTACCATTTGAACCCTGGTCAGCATCAGAAGCACTAACTGTAGTTAAAACTGTGCCTTTTGGCGAATTTTCAGCTATGTTAGTTTTGTATACGGATTGTGAACACACAGGGGCGTTATCATTAGCATCTAAAACTGTAATATGTATCTTCATTGTACCAGACATTTGGGGATCGCCTCCGTCGAATGCTGTTAAAAGTAAAGATATATGATCTTTTTTCTCTCGATCTAAGTGCGTTTGGAGAACCATTTCGACGGCTTTATTTCCATCGGGGAGATTCTGAAATTTTAAAACAAAATTATCTGTCGGCTCTAAAGAATAACTCTGCAGACCATTTCGACCGACGTCATGATCTATAGCCCTCTCCAAAATAAATCTGGCACCTGATGAAGACAATTCATTAATTTCAAATCTCATCTCAGCCTTACTAAACATTGGTGCATTGTCATTTATATCTGTGACCTCAACTGTAACGCGATACAACTGCATTGGATTTTCGAGAATAATCTGAAAATGTAGGGCGCAAGGCGTTGTCTGTCCGCATAGCGCCTCTCGGTCTATTCTCTCTTTGATAAGGATGACTCCTCTTTCTTTATTCAGCTCGATGTATTCAACGTTGTCTCCTGTATAAATACGCGCTTTACCCGATTTCAGTCTCTTTAAATCTAAACCTAAATCCTGTGCTATGTTCCCGACTAAAGAGCCTTTCGCCATTTCCTCAGGAATGGAGTAACTGACCTGCCCGAGAGCCGAACTGAGAGAGAGAAACCAAATAAACAGCAGTACTTGCCGCGCCATTGTTCTGTCCGACAGTTTTTCAGAAGACCACGGAAGAGAAGATTAAGGCAGAAAACAAATTAATCCAAAAAGCTGGAGGTAATCATGAAAAAATCCAAAGTGAAAAGTGGTGATAAAAAGTCTGTAAATCCTAAAAATTATAATAAATACATTATCTATGGGATGTGCCTTCTTTCTCCTTCTCAGACTGTGCTCTCAGTTTATGTCTCACTCTAATAATATGGAGATGATGGGGGTGGAACTGCAGCAGATCTGCTCTCTACACTGACATATTGACCAACAGCGGCACTGTGAGTTCAGTCTGATGAACTACAGAAATGAATACACGTATACTTGTTATTCTTATTATTTGAGACATCTACCGTTCAAAAGGCGACAAATTAAACATAAAATATAAACATTTCAGAAGTCAAAAAGATACATCATATAAAAATATATTAAATATATACACTATAAATATATTACATAATATACATTTGGATTGCAATGAATGTCTCCTAGAAAAGCAATTGGTTAGTCTTTAAATTGTCATGTATGCCTAATAAAAAAAACAGCATTTTTTTTTATTATAGAGGAAAAATAAAAACATTCACGAATAAAAATTACAAAATAACGTGTTTAAAACGTAAGCAATATGAGAAAACTATACTTCTCCAAGGGAGAAAAACGGACAGTCACAAAGAGGGACTAAAATATCCCACTGACAGTATTTCAGCACCATGGTCAGTGAATCAAGACACATTTTCTACACGATGGTTTCAAACAATTAATATATTACATATGTATCATATGATAACTATCTAAATAACAAACGACAAAATGAGATGTAGTTTCAATTTGTTGAGAATTACCTTGGTACAAAAAAAAAGTGTTTACAGAAAAACACAAAAGCAACGGTTGACTTAACAAATAGATTTCATACATGTACACACACACACACACGAAAAAAAGAAGAAGAAAAAACTCTAATATATAACAAAATATACAGTAAATCTCACCTGATCATCGAAATCTTGATTGTTTTTTTCTCTTTGAGCATGCGTAAGTGTATGTGTCCCGCTGCTGTCCAGACTAATGATGCTCTCACTGCAAGGTCTGGCGCATTTCTGATCACTCTTCAGAGGAGGGTTTCCTCCATCCTGCGCTTTTACAACGAAACTAAGCTGTTTAATTTGCTCATAATCAAATGAACGAACTGCGTGTATTATGCCATTCTCGGAGTTTATGGACACGTAAGAGGAAATCGGCACACCAACAATTTGAGTATCTTCTAAAAAATACGACAATATGGAGTTTTGATTCCAGTCTAAATCTCTCGCAGTTACACTATATATGGACAGCCCTGGTTCGTTATTTTCAAGAATGTGTGTTGAATAGCTATTTCGATCGAAAACTGGCGCATTATCATTGATGTCAGAAACTTTGAGGCGTAGTGTTGTTGAGCTGGAGAGTGCAGGTGAACCTGAATCGGTCGCAATCACTGTTATATTATATTCTGACTGAGTTTCACGGTCAAGAAAGGCATCTGTGATCAAATTATAATAGTTCGAGAGGGACGATTTGATATTGAACGGGAGGTTTTTATCAATAGAACACATAAC